CATTCAGCTCACGTGTGTGGCTAGTGGGGTTGTGATCAGGCCTCTCTGTGCCTCCTCTATTTTTGTACATTTCTCACCAACCTTTGAAAGCCTCTAATTTTACCTTTTTTGCTTGGGCCGGCTTCATTCTGGATCTATGTTAAAACAGTCTTTCATAAAGAGTCCTTAGTTTATAGCTTAACAGACTACAAAATGCAGTTTACAAAATGTTTCTTGCCAGGAACCCACTGCAGTGATCTCTGATCATTAACCAAGTGGAAAAACAAAGATCTGGACTTGGTCTGTTTTCCCTTTTAAGAAGGTCAAGTCCACGTCTCTTCATGCCCGTCAGAGCAAAGCCTTTCAGGGTAGAGAACCATATATCCACCTGGAATGAGCAGAGGCCTTCGGGATGAGTGGAGATTTTTGCCTTAGGAGATTTCCTGTTGTGAGGCTCTCCTTCACATCAGTTATGAAGTCGGGAACACCTTTTGAGCATCTTTGATTTTGACAAATGGTGCTATCGCAACCACATTAATGCCAGGGGGTTTTATATAAAATAGTCATGATAGCCATAGAAGTCAAACTCATCTGTGAAAAAATCCTTAAATTTATTTTTAAGTGTCTAAATTAAGGATTAGTGCTTTTTACATAAAAGATTAGTTGTCCAGGATCTTCATTAAGAGAAAGCAAAGGGTATTATAGGATCAGATGAGTATATTTGGGTTCTTTAGTTTTGCACCATTTAGTTCCCATTGAATTTTGTAAGTTCCTATGTTTGCAGTCATCTGTTCTAGAAGTCATTCTGCCCTCGGCTGTGTCATCTCAGTCATCTGACTTAGAAAGTGCCCTTCAAAGGACCCTGTTCACTGCTGCACTTTTCAATGAATTAAAATTTATTTCTGTTCTAGTGGGAATGTGTCCTTTGTTTTAGTGCACAAGTAGTTTTAACAAGATGCTTTTTTTTCTTAATGCTATTTAATGTTTTATTGTTCATCTAGTACTGGAAATGGGCCTTTCCCTCATCAGATTCTGTGGTCTCTACTTGGACAGCTTATATATTCATGGGTCCTACTAACTGATAATTCCTGAATGAAGCACCATGTAGAAAATCCTTTGAGATAAATATTCATTTGTACTTTTGGAGAGAAAACTGTATCTTGACTAGTTGTTAAATAGACCAAGTTTATCTTCAAAGGTTCTTTGCCTGGCTATCCAGTCATGTGATCCATTTTCCCAAGTAAGGAGTGACTTCTTACAAGGGTCAACAAACTTTTTCTTAAAGGGATCATTGCTATTTTAGGCTTGTAGGCCCTGTGGTCTGTCACAACTACTTTTCTGCTTTAGCACCAAAGTAGCCATAGACACACACACACACACACACACATGTTATGTGCAGCTGTGTTCCAGAAAACTTTATTTACAAAAACAAGTAGGCTATCCTGTGTCAATCTCAGCCCTAGTAGGTTACCTCCTGTCTTGGCTATTCTGAAGACCAAGTAGAAGTAAGATTTTAGAATATACCCATCAAATTACCAGATTACCATTTAAGTTTGTTTGTTTTAAAGAGATTTTTGCTATAGGCACATGCACTCACTGGAGAGAAGAGAGAAAGAAAGAAAGAAATCACCCCTTAGGGTGGACGGCCACGCTGTAATCCCTTTTCCAATCTCCTCTCAAGATTTTGGGCACACACACATATGCCCAGCATGAGTTTCAAGCCACCGGGTCCAGAACTTGGAACTGCAGTTGGTCATCTGGGAGTCCAGCAACGTAGCTATTATGCCATCTGCTGGTCCCAGTTACCAGATTATTATAAAACAAGTAATTGGGGCCAGGAGGTGGCGTGGTGGTTAAGGGTGCTGGACGCCCACATGGCCAACCATGGTTTGAGTCTTGGACTTGGCAGCTTGCTTGCTTTCTCTCTCTCTCCCTCACTCTCTCACACTGTCCCTCTCTGGTCAAATTAAAATAAAGTTAAATAAAATAATTAAAAACAAAAAACAGGCAATTTGTGGAACCAACAGATGGCACAGCAGTTACATCACTGGGCTCCCACATGGCCAACTGTGGTTGAAATCCGGACGCAGTGGCCTCAAAATCACATGGAACGTGTGTGCGTGTGGCACCAAGATCCTAGGAGAAGGATGGAAGAGAAGGGATTGTGGTATGGCTGTACCCCCTTTGTGGGGTGGGGGGTTCCTCACTTTCCTTCTCATTACGCCTGCCCCCCCCCCTCATGTGCACACCCTAAGGCAAAAGACCTCTAAAAAAAAAAAAAATAGGTAATCTAGGTACATAGCACAATGTCAGAGTCACTTATAAGGGTCTAAGATTTGGTTTTACTCTTCTTGCAAGCTAGTAAGTTAGCCTAGTACCGTTTCATGAGTGGTGAGCAGAAGCCGTGAGACTCCAGGCTTAGAGACAAAGGGCTTCATTGCAGCACAGCAAGCAGCACAAGCCTCAGTTGACTCTCTTCCAGGTGCCACTGGTGTGTGAAATCCAGGTGGATGCCTGCACATGCAGTGGGTTTGTCACCCAAAAGGAATACTGAGCTTGGGAAAACTGCTATTTTATAGCAAGCACTAAGCAAGCCTGCCCTTTGTTCCAAAAGAAGACTTGACTTCATCCCTCCAAGTTACTCACTGAAAACAACCCTGAGAAAGGGCCTGCATAAAAAATAGTCAGGGCCTTGGCCTACCCATGTGCAGGGTTGCTTGGGGCCCATGGAGGATTGCCTCTCCCGACAGTCAGTTATGTACTGGCAGAGGGACACCTAGCCAAAGCTAGAAAGCCAGACCATGCAAAGCACAGGAGCTGCAGACCTGAATGCTTACATGAATGTTTTTAGCCCGAGACAAGACCAAGAACCTCTGTAGGGTAAGTAACAAAGATGGATGCGGCCTTCTAGATTATGAGACAGGAGATACCAAAACCTTACAGCAAGGAAGAGGGAAAGGATAATGTAAGGTTAAATGTGTAGGTCAGACTATTTTCAGTTTCTTTTCAGGAGAAAGGCACCCTCCACAGAGTCTCCTCATGCCACAGTCCGCCCTGGCTTTCCTGCCAACATCGGACCAACCTGGGATCTGAACCTCTGCAGTCTTCCCTAAGGGCTCCAGCACAGCAGTGCCCTGTCACCGTCACCAAGGCAGCTGGCCCAGGTCAGACTGTTGTGGGCTACCTAGTCTTACCTTTGTCTATAGACTAGCGAGACGGAGTAGAGTCTGTGATCGTTAACAAAGGAGAAAAACAAGATGGCACAGGGTCCCTGTAAAGTCACAAAGTTACTGTCATAAAAATAGGAAATCTGGTTTCACCACAACATCAAGCTGTTGATGGAGAGAATATTTGCAGGGTAAGTGTAGATTCCTCTAGGTCCCTTTTCTCCACTTTACCTCTTCAAGATTGTACTGCCCTGTAAAACCAAATTCCCTAGAGAATTAGTCATTTCATCTTAATTCTCTACCGCCAGTGGATTTAAAGGGCTGATCCTATGTGCACATTGAAGTCTGTTAAGGCATAAGCCAACAACCAGGGAACCCAGAAGACAAGCTGAAAGCCTTGTGCTGAGAGACTGCTGAGGCCACGGAACCACCAGGGATTTTATGTGGGCTGAGAGAACAGCCCCTAGAGTACTGCGGAGCACAATATAGTTCCAAACCATCACCTTCTGCAGGTGCAGCTCAGATCCATACATGCCATCTCAACCTGCAGTTCTTGCAACAGGTCTCCAAAGGACAGAAACAAAAGGTGTTTGTAATGATCATTTTTTTAAAAAAATTATTTTTGGGGGGAGGGGAGATTTTCACTATAGGGCGTGTGCGCTTGCCAGAGAGAGACATAGAGACAGAAAGCGAGAAATCGCCCCCCATGGGGGATGATCACACAGCAATCCCTTCTCCATTCACCTCTCGAGATCTTGGGCACACACGCACACGGCATGAGTTTTAAGCCACTGGGTCTGGGATGCAAACTGCGGTCGACTACGTGGGAGTCCAGTGACATAGCCATTATGCTAACTGCTGGTTCCCCCAAAAAAAAGAATTACTTTATTTAACTTTATCTTTTCATTTGACCAGAGCAGGACAGAGTGAGGGAGGAAGTGAGAAAGCAGGCCGCCAGGTCCAGGACTCAAACATCGGTCAGCTATGTGGGAGTCCAGCACCCTTAACCACCATGTCACCTGCTGGCCCCTGTAGTAATCTTTTTTTTTAATGTGATAAAACAGCTCCACATGGTAGGTTTTCTCCCCTCAGCCTTTTTCCCAAATTCATGAAGCTAATTAATCAAAAGGTTCCGATTTCAAAGATCAAGCTTCAGAGCCATCTTTCTGCTAAACGAACTCTGATCCGTGAAGGATTTTTTTCCTCCCTCATCATGTAAGTACTACTCTGCCTGGTAGTGAGCTTGGTTGTGAAAGGGAATTACTCTGTTCCTGACCTCCAGGACATTATTACGTGGATTGAAAAGAAAACATAGGCAGGACCAGCAGTTAGTGTAACAGCTATGTCACTGGACTCCCCTGTTCACTGCCCAGACCTCGTGGCTTAAACTCATGCTGGGTGTGTGTGTGTGCGTGCGTGCCCAAGATCCCGAGAGAAGAATGGAGGAGAAGGGATTGCAGCGTGGCCATCCCCCCTGGGGGGTGATTTCTCTCTGTCTGGCGAGCGCACGCGCCCTATAGCAAAAACCTCTCCGTAAAAGAAAACAGGCCAGCCCGGTGACATGGTGGTTAACGTGGCTGGATGCCACAAGGCCAACTCCACAGTTAAAGTCTGGACCTGGCCGCTTGACCAGGCACATGCAAGTGCATGTCCAAAATCCTGAGAGGAGATGAAAGAGAAGGGATTGTAGTGTGGCCATTCCCCAAGGGCAGGG